GGCTGCTGACGTGGCCGCCCTCTTTTTTTTTTTTTTTTTTCTCCTCCTTTCCGGGTGCTACATTTACTTTACGAGAGTGCCGGAGGATTATGTCTCTCCTACATGGTATCCTCCAGTATCTTATATGGTGTTAGAATCTGAGTTTTGTGCGCAAAGAGAAGTTCCGTGTGAATTTGTAGCAATTACTTCCATTATTCATTGTTGTATTTTGTTGTTTAATGTTCAAGAGGTTATTTATTTATTTTACTCTACATCGTAATTAGATTTGATTAACTCGAATAATTCATTGTAAATTACATACATCTCTAGCAAAAGATGCTAATGTTGTTTTAAGCTTGAGCTCAGATAAGTACTGCTTGACATTTTTGCTATTTGATTTTTTTTATTCTTTTTTATTACCTATTTCTTTTTAATGAATTTCGGAATTTGTGGTTTAATAATTAACCATTTATATGATACTAATGGTTTTTTAAGAAGCTGTTTGCACGTAGTTCTGTACTTGTAAAAACATACAAGTAGAAGTTCAAGACAAACAATTATAAAATAGAGCCTTAAAAGTTAATGATAATAAACCAAAATAAAGGTACTTAATTGGTGCCTTCAAATATTGAATGTGAAAAAGGTAAAATCGCATAGTATTAAAAAGCACTTTACCCTTGAACTTTGGGATCAAGAGTTTATAAGCACTAAAAATAAAGAACAACGGCCAATTTAAATGGTCTCTGTGTATTTAATGAAAGAAATATTTAACTAAAAATATATATTATATAGATATATAGGTTGATGAAAACCGGCATCTACTTGAACCATACAATAAACAAACAAGTACCAAATCAAAGTGGACAAGAAAAATTAACAACATTGTTGATTATAAGTCTTGACTTAATGTAAACAAAATGAAGTAGCAAATCTTTAATGATTTGTTAGGCCAAATAATCAGCTAAAGCAACCAACCATATTCCTTAATTGAATTTGAGACAAAGCCTAAAAAAATGATTTATAATAATGAGGGACAACGTGAAAAACAAATCTATATAACCAGGAGGTTTGTAACAACTCCGTAAATTTAAAAAAAAAAAAATTATAAATTTAGTGTGGAAGCGAAATAAATAGTTAGCGTTTAGATTACTTACACAATAATTGAAAGTAGTAATAGGGTTTACTAAAATAACATTTCTAAAAAAATAATTAATAACCAAGGAAATAAATTAAAAATAAACGACTGAACGCGCTACTCGCAATTCTCTTGTGGATCGGACTATGTATCATGATTCTCTTAATTTGAAATAGTTAATGAAAAAATGACCTACATTATCCCAGTAAAAATATCACGTTATTCACTGTTACGAAAAACTGAAGGTTCGTAAAAATCATAAAATAACTAATTGAGCCTTTTATTTAAGTAAATTCATTTAATATAAAAAAAACCGTTTATTTCATACTTACTGTCATGAGTTTTCCAAAATCAACTTATAAACACAAATATTCAAATAAAATTATGATTTCATGTACAAGAGAACAAAATTAGCAATTCTCTTTTTAACCTACTTATTGGAAATATAGAGGTGCATAGGGATATTACCGTACTCGTGAACCCAATATCTAGATTTGTTAGTTAACCTGACCGTCTCCATACCCCATCCAATAATGGGCGCCAAACACACTATTGCCTCGATACCCCGTTCGGTATGAGGGTGAACCATGTCTTCAGACCCTTCCGGTATAAGATTTCTCAGTCTCTTCTAGCTAAGGTAATGTCCACTGTAAAGTTCTCTATATACTGGTCCGTCAATCATTTCCTAAGGTACCCAGTAAGTCTTTCATACATATATTTATATCATCAAACAATCATCAATTTCATATTAACATTTCATATTTGCAAATCAACTGTAAGTTATACAAATAGAAGATATGCACATTAAGAACATAATTAAGATATTTTATTTCAGAACAGATTAACACGAAAATGTGCAGTGAGGTAAATCAAACAACCGAGAAAGCAATCAAAATCATCTATTAAATACGTACAATATAATAGTAGGCAATTCAAGTAGTACCGAAAAATAAACAATGAATGAAGACAAATATAAATTAATTGACTCTGACTCCACTAGTGATCTGTAATTATTTTTAATTTTTTTTTAATTTTTTATAAAATACAAGATTTATCGATTAAGTTTCAATTTACCATAATAGGGAATAGTGTGAGAGATTCTTATCCATTAGTATTTCGAAATATCGTGCTATCTACTACGTCTCCTGACGGTTTATAGATTTTCTGAATTTTTCATACGGAAATTAAAATACTTGTCACTACCCAAAAATACATCAAAAAGCCAAAATTGGTGTTGAAAAACTTTTTCGGTAAATTTTAGAGTTCCGGCACGGTAGCACCAGCTTCGCCGCCCACAATGGCGGTTCACCTCGGTCTAGCCAATTTTGGCCAGTTTTATACGTATCTCTACGAAAAAATATGTTAAAAAGCCTCAGTTGATTGGAAAAATTAAAAAATCAACACCTACCTGCGAGGGGAAGGGGTCTCCGAGTGCGGAGGGTCCACCGGCCCTCCTTTACGGTTGGGGTTCCTCTTCAATTAACTTGTACTAGAAAGAGACGGTGAATATGATGGTCAAAGAATCGTGTAAAATGGAAAACAGGAAGGAGGTCATCAGAGAGGGTTTTGGGTTTTGGCCGCGGTAGCTCGGCCGAATTTAGCCTGCAGTTTTTGACTCACTCACCGTCCTGATTGTGCGATATAGCCACAGGAAGGCTGGGAATTGAATTCCGAGCAGGAATACGAAAATCTTACCTTTTTTGGCAGTCGGCGGTGGCTCCAGTACGGCGACGGCAATGGTCGGCCTCCTTATCTGGCGTCTGGTTCTTCTTCTTTGGCGAGAGCTGATGTGGCTAGGGTTAGGGTTCCCTAGAACGCGATGCTTAAATACATTTTCCGTGTCTATATGGGCTGTCCATTTGAAAACACGTGGCCCTCTCTCGTCTCTTGAATCTATCTTAATCGGGGAATGAATCTACACTGCACAATCATATTGAATCTGATCATTCGATCGCGTCTAAAGAGAGAACGCATTTGGGTCGTTCACGCGTGCAAGATGAGATCTAAACTGTCGGATCGCTAGGCACACGAATTGCTCGCGTGGCCTCTCACGTGGTGCCGATATTAGTGGGGTTGCCACGCAGCGTGCTCTATTTCGTCGTGGTTACTGACCGGACCGTCCCATGTGACCAAACTTCTTTTTGTGATTTAACCTACTATTTTCAAATTTTCTTTCAAAAATATCTATCGTATTTAAAATATCACTATTTTTAAAAAAATTATTTTTAATTTTATCTCTAATTAATTTTTTTCTTAAAAATTTAATAAAATTAATTAAAATAAATTTTTTAATTATTCATATATATATATATTTTATAAATAGAAGAATCTTTCGAGTTTCAATATTACATACATATATAAATACATTGCTGAGGTCAATTAAGATTGTGTTTATGAGGGATACATGATGCAGCTTGAGCAAGTGGATAGGGACTAGGGATGTATTAAAAAACTTGTTAAAAGTTGTTCATAAGAGTCCAAAGAACAGGTAGACACTCTGACTCCCTTTAATATCATGGTGGTGTTGACTTTAGGTCCATAAATATAACACCATCGGACCCCATTTCGAAGATTTTCAATTTCTTTATGCGTTGTTGGTCAATTTTAGCGGCTCGTGTTTTAGGTAAATGACATTAACTAGTTTGTTGTTTGTCCACGGAAGCAACTTGACACTATTGGATGGTTTCGAGTGGTTAGGAAACTTAATATTTATGTATCACATGCATATATCAATTTTTATAAACAAAAATTATATTTTAAGTAAGATATAATTTCCAAAAATCTTCTTTTTTTTTTTTTTTTTTTTTAGTGTGTTGTGCAGTAAGATATAATTTCCAAATAGTTTGAACGAATTTCTGTGCGGTTCATTTCTCCAATTAGATAACACGCAAATCATCCTACCGCGAAAGTGTCAGAACTAAAATCAATTAATTAACTAGTTATATTAGAGATTAATCAACCAAGGGCAAGTTTGTAATTTTACAAGGTCAATTGTAATTAAGTCCAATCTTGAGATTAGTTGTGGATTAACTCTTAATACGGGATTAGTTGTAAATTAAATCGGGTATAAATGTCCAGAAGCAATTAATGACAATATAGAAAGTCATTTTCTTTCTCAAGTCGATCACGTCCTCTCTCTCCTCTCTAATGACTAAAGATTTTTTTATTCTTGATTTCTTGATCCGTAATCGGTCTTCAATCTCTTAATCCACACATATCAGGTTTCTCAACACTAGTAAGAAAATAAATCTAATATACGTATATGTAATTTAACTCCAGCGAAATGATCCACGCAATGTGGAAGAAGAAACCTCTGAAAAAGAAAATTTTCTTTTCTTTTTCCTCTTGTAGTCAATTTGCTTACAAACCAAACAGATCATTATTTGAAAATGATCATCAATGGTGAACACAGAACGCAGCATGTTTTTACAAGGTTGAGTATTCTGAGTTATTCATCAAGAGAATAAAAAATCATACGACTATTTCCCCCCCCAAAAAGAACCAAGACGATCGAATTAAGAAATTTTCTTTTTCTTTTTCAAGCATTTATGAATCTTTTTAATCATAATTAAACGGAAATCATATAGAGAGAATACATAGTTAGTACCCGAACATGCCTTACGCGCCGGTTACGCAGCAGAACATTCTGTGGCTCCCAAATCTCACAAGTTGCTGCTTCCGCTCAACGTGAGGGAGTGATGGAAACGCATCGTACGAAAGATCGTCTGTCGTTGTAAAATCTCCGACAGATCTATGTCGCTTATGAGTGCCGACGACGTTGCCGGCCTCCGCGTAGAAACTACGGCCGATTCTGTCCTTCGACGACGTCGAATCGTCATAATCATAACCGGTGTGACCGCCATTGAGGTAGAAATCGGCGATGTTTATAGGTCGGGATACGTCGGCCGACAGACTATCGTAGGTCCGGCGAGTTTTGTTCTTCCTGATTGCCTTATAAACCATAGGTATTATACCTTCCATGTCCGTACCTTTTGATCTCCTACTAATCAGTATTTATCTTCTTCTTCTCGTAAGAAGAAGATGAAGAAGACAACAGAGGAAGAAGGTGAAGAAGGAAAGAAGAGAGAGTCAGAGTGTTTTTAGGAGACGAAGAAAATGAGTGGCTTCTGATTTTGAGTCATGGGGGTTGTTAACGTTGATTAATATTTATAATTTTAAAAAAATATTTTATTTTATTTATTTAATTTTACATGAATAAAATGGTTATGTGATCAGAACTCAGATGGCAGGCACTATCACACGGCATTTTGACTTTGTCCTAATAAATAAATAAATAAATAATTAATTAATTAATTAAAAGTTGTGAAATAACTTTCCTGGAAATTTACTATTAATGGCATCGAGGAAAGCGGCAAGATCTAAATATGAATGCACACACACATATATATATATATGTGTTGTGTGTATTCTTTTACAGTTAAGAAATTAGATAAATTATTACTCAAAATTTCATACTTATTATAATTTATTTATAATATTTTTTTAATTATAATTTGACTCTTGACAGTTTTTTTTTTTTTTTTGCAACTAAAATAATTAGATTATGTACAAGAACTTTTAAAAATTAATATAAAATAATATATTAATAAAGTTCAAATAATATTAAGTATATTTTTAATATTATTAATTTAATTAATTAGTTAAGGTAATTTTTTAAATTATTGTTAGGTATCTAAACTAAATATAACGATTTCAGAGTTTTTTTAATTAAAAAATAAAAGAAAATTAGACATTTGGAAGGAATTAAAAACTAAATTATAATAAACATTAAATTTCATAAATTAATTTATCCTAAGAAATTTAAGGGGATAGAATATATAATTACTTCTTCTTCAAGTAATAAAATATGTAACGACTTAGTCTTGAACTTAATTGATATAAACGAACCTTTAATTTGTTTTGGTTTAAAAATGAAACTTTAATTAACGTACAAGCATTGTTCTTATTCTCTTAAAACATTATGATTATGATGATTATTATTATTATGACGATTACGACAATAATAATAATTATTATGTTATTATTATTAGAGAATAATATTTATATATTAGTTTTTTATATTAAAATCAGATAAATTAATTATCTTTAAATTTATATAATTCGAGATTTTACTCCAAACTCATGAATATAAAAATTTGTTAATACACAGTATGCTATCATTACTAACCTAATAGCTTTTTAGTTTTAAAATGTTACGTATTTTGATAATATTTGTCACGTTTTAAACCTAAACAGAAGACAGAAGACGACAATTTTTAGTTTTCTATTTAGTTTCAAGACTTTTCGGGTTTGTAGTCCAGTTGACGCCTCATGGGATTCGGTACAACTTAGAAGCTTCTTCATGCTGCTTTTCTTATTCCAAGTTTACTTAAATAAATATTATAAAATTAATGAAACATTGTATTCTTTTTACAGATTAATTGTGTTATAATAAAAATATTGATCACCATTTTTTTTTTAAATTAAAAAAAAAACACTACACGTTGACTTTATACACACATTGGATTTTTTTATAACTCATTTACCTTGTCGTGATCTCCTCCAAACCCAACTACTTGGGTGTTCTTGACATTGATGGAATGCAAGAAGACAAATCAAAATGAAACTTTCGTGATCTTCTCGAGACTCGGTCAAAGCAGAAACAAAAAAGTTACGAAACACAGTTCATTTAAAACACCTCGTACATTTAATTTAATTTAATTTCTAAAAGAAATATCGGTCGATCAAAATATGAAGAGAACTAACTATATAATTCATTGACGACGATTAGGAGTACTATAAACTTTTTCGTATTCAAGAGATAAATTTTTTGCCTAAACTTCAAATATTGAGTCCAAGATTCTAAGCCACCACGAGCTGTTAGTGCGAGTCTTTACGTCGATTTTCTCTTAATTCATCCCTAAATTATATTTAGATAATTCCTAATTTCTCTTAAAAACTATTGGTGTTACCCACATTGTTGAAGCATTAGATGGTTTTTATCAGCAACATACGTGCATTTCTCTATTTGGATTTTGTCAACAAAGGAAGCTAAGATAGTCCAGAAGTGAACTAACTTCTAAACACAAATATAAAACCAAGTCGTTACGGTTCCAGTTTACCTGCCCCATATAATATCAATGAAGTTCAGCTGAAAATTTAAAGAGATACGTACATTTGACGTGGATGATGATGCCTCTACTTGCCAGATGCCGCTTCCTACAAGCAATGACCTAATGGATCAAATAATAATTTTATCACAAGTATACGTAGTTTAGTATTTTATCTTTTCACTCATCAACTAGATTATTCAGGCATACAATAATCTTTTATGGTGTCATGGATCAGAAAATTGACATTAATAAAAAAAAAAAAAAAAACATGAATGGCATAGAACTCGAGTATTTCGATTGACACACCAAGAACTAAAATAATATGGCCAACCAATATGTAGAATCTGCAGTTAGGATACAGCTTAGTTCTACTAGATAAGAAGAAGAGATGGAAATGGATTTTACATTTCCAGATTTAACTCAAACCTAATGTTAGTTAGTCTAACAATGACAAAACCAAATATAAAGCTGTACTCCCTGTTACTTCTACAAATATTAGAGAGATGTCTTATAATAAACTTTGTCCACCTTGAGTGCTTAACAAGCTGATTCTGTTTCACTATATTCTAAGAAGAGGGGATTCACTGATTCTGTACTCCCTCTTACTTCCTGTGACTGTTAGAAGTCCAGATTATGAAGTATTAAATGACTTAATAAACAACATATATACATTTTCCAGAAAGATTAGTATTTTCTATTTGAATTTTGTCAACAAATATGCAAATAATGGCTCATAAGATGTCAACTTTTAATGTATATATTGAACGATTGGCCTTATATATAGTTTTAGGCCATGTCTATAGCTCTAAATAATCTTTTGCAAATAAACATTCTTCTTGGGTAAAAGCTTACTTTAGTTTGGATCATATGAACTTTCTAAGAAGAGTGGGATTCATTTTAAATCTAAGTTTCTCTGTTAAAACGAAATACATGCGAATTCTACAACTTTTTGTCAATTTCATTTTTTTTTTCAACAATAACGAAGTTAAGCTGCTAAACTTCTCCAAATATATGACATATTTGATGTAGATGATGATGCTTCTTCTTGTCAGACTGAACCCCTTAGAATGCAATAACTAGATAAATTTTAAATCCCTTCACTTACCAACTAAAATCAACTAGCTACCTACTTGCTATAATACTTTATCACAGTTTGACCTCATACAATAATATTCTATTCGACTTGATAATATAATAAAAGAAAACTGATATAAAAAATACAGACTAATATACCTATGTAATGGGATTTTTTTTTTTCTTTTCCTTTTCGTCAGGCCAAATCCTTTGTAAATGTAAAATTCAATTACCACAATCTAAATGCAAAGAATTAAAGAACATGCACAAGCTAAATAAGATAGCATTTTGACAACAAATTCAGTTGACATTTTCTCTTATTTAGAAAGAAAAGCCAAGAATGAAACAAAATTTCCACCATAAAAATAATATAACAACACATGTTAACTTTTTTGCCAAAAGACCCAGGACATTTAAGTAAGAAAATACATGAAATAGTTGCTCTGATTTAACTAGAAAAGCTACCTGACTAATTAAAAGTAGTTAGAGGCACAAATTGTTGCAGCTAATAAAAGAGTTTGCTGTAGAAACTGAATGAAATGTATAAATAAGATGAGTTGATCTAACAAGCTTACCCATAAATGAATAGCACTAAAACCTCCTCTCTCTTCTATCCTCAGTCTTTCCTAATTTCCTTCTCTCCTTCTTCTCCTCTCCCTTACCTTTCGCTTTTGCTTTCCATTTTCTGAGAACTATTGCGACTAGATTTGGCTGCAGATACACTTTGTATGTCACAATAAAAATCTTCTCAACCTTGAGGAACAACTAGCCATCAAGCATACTCGGAGAAACTGTTTTTTGTTCTTTTGTTTTTTTTTTTCAGCCTTTCGGGCAGTCTTTTTAGTTTACCCATTCTTCCAGCTCTTCTTGTATAACGCCCTGTTTTTTTTTTTTTCCACGGCGTAAGATAAAACAATTTCATGACCCAACACACAAATCTCATGTTAGTTTAATCACACATAAAAAAAACTTGTCCACATTTTATTGTTCAAACCCAATGTAAACTTACAATTCTACATACACATCAAATGAGAAAACCATATCGTTCATCTCCAGCAAATAGTATCCATATTAATATAAACTTTTACACACTATAACCCGCCGCAAAGGAAACCCTTGCCCTATGGCGCTAAAGACTAGACTCAGCATCCAGTAACTCAGATCCCGGTTCTATCCCTACTTCATCTGTTAATGATAAGAAATGAGTTCACATAACTTAATACGATAAAAATTAAGTTGCAGATATAATATGCGATGACAAGAAATTCAGTATGTCTATATGC